GAGCTCCCTCCTTCGTTCTGGGTGCATGCCGTCTCTACCTTTGTCCACACGCGAAATCGCATGCCCACATCTGCTCTAGACGGCGGCATACCCTACACAGCATGGAAGGGCGATGGGAGGAAGCCAGATGTGTCCTACTTTCGAGTCTTTGGCTCCCTGGCCTATGTTCTGGTGCGCAAGAAGGATCGCAAAGCGCTGCAGTCTCACACTTGCAAGTGCATCTTCATTGGGTACCCAGATGGCACCAAGGCCTGGCGATTTTTGGGACCCTGCAGCGAAGAAGGTGCTCATCTCGTCGCATGCAGTGTTCGATGAGAGCTGCTTTCCTGGAAACTCGCCCTTCATCAATGTCTTTGGCCTTCCCCTGGATGATGTGGATGTCCCTGGTGCACCAGACGACGAGGATGCAGACTCTGCGCCCCAGGACAATGTGCCAGATGTGCCAGAGCTGCAGGATCAGGGGGGAGACAACGACTATGATGCTCCTGCACCTCCTGCACCACCAGCTCCACCTGCGCCTCCTGTGCCTCAAATTCCGCCTCCTGCGCCTCAAATTGCGCCCCCTGCGCCTCAGAGTCCACCTCCTAACATCGCTCCATCGCGCTCTCCATCTCCTGACGTTGCAGAGCCCCAGTCGCGCTCTCAGAGCCCACCAGCACCTCCACAACTCCCTCCTGCACCAGTCGCTCCACAGGCTCCTCAGCCACCGCCTCCTGTGCCCATAGCTCGTCCCCCTGCACCGTCTGTCCACCAGCCAGCCCAGGGTCAAGGCGGCTTCAGACCTTACCCAGCACTCGCTCGGAAACAGCTCCCAGCTCGCTCTACTCGCTACCAGGGTTCCCTCAATGACAGGGACCTTGAACGCCAGAACCTCGTCGCTCCTCGCCACCGCATTCGCTCTGTGTCCCCTGCTCCAGCTCCAGCTCCAGAATCTCCTCGGAATTCGCCCTCACCAGATCCTCTAATTGACGCACCAGTCGATCCAGCTCCTGCTCGCATGCTCGCCCCTCGCTCTACTACTCCTCCTCCAAGTCCCACATCCTCAGACAACGAATTGGACTGCATAGGAAGCGACGATGTGGACACTCTGCAGGCCATGCTGGCAGGCATTGGGTACGTCTGCTCTGCCCAAGTCGACAATTTCCTGCCCTATGACGATGCCCTGGAGTTCGCATTCAAGTCAGTGGTCCAGCACGCGTTCAAGGCGGACCAGGAGCACTTTGGAGAGCCCAAGTCGATTGCTGAGGTCATGCTGTTAGCTGCAGTGGGCCTCAGAGGGGTCACAATGGCCTAAGTCGAGCTCTGTAAGTCTTAACATTGCAAGGAAACTGTGCTACGCACCTAAGTCGAGCTCTGTAAGTCTTAAGGACTGCAGAGTCGACTCAGGCGCAGATGACGGCGCACAGAGCGCGTGGGAACTAGCTAACACAACCATACACTAAGTGGCGCTGGAATGGCGCCAAACGGACCAGAAGTGCGTAAGGTAGACACTATTCTAGAGTGCAGTCAGATCTACAGTAACGGAGACTACTAGTGAAAGAAATGAAGTATCTGTATGGAAACGAGAGTTGTGACTATACGAAAATTACCAGAGGTAGTGGACAGTGCGAACTATGTAGGGCACAAAGCAGGACTTGGTGCGATTAAAACCGCAGGCGCTACAGCACCGACTCCAACACATGCAGCTCGCTCCAGATGAGCGCAGCAAGTGGCTCAAGGCTGCTCAGGACGAAATCCAGTCTCTGGTCGAGAATGGCACCTTTGAGCTCATCCAGCTGCCCCCAGGACGCAGGGCCATTGGCTGCAGATGGGTGTTCAGGGTGAAGCGCAATGCTGACGGCTCAATTGAGCGGTACAAGGGTCGCCTTGTGGCCAAGGGCTTCTCCCAGCGTCCTGGCTTCGACTACAACGAGACCTTTGCCCCTACCCCAAGTGGGCGTCGATTCGAGCCATCCTGGCCCTTGCTGCACATGAGGACCTCGAACTCGAGTCTGTGGACATCT